GTCAATCAAGCTGATGTAATTATTTCAGCTACTGAAAGGCAAGATGAATTTTGCAGACTGCTTTTACGCAGTCAACTATTATTCTTCGATAATATTTTGCAAGCAGATGCACATATGTGAAAGTAGATGAAAAAATCCAAAATCTTAATTATCTTTGCTTAGTTCTTTGGCAGTCTATTTCCCTACATTGAAGCGATGCAGCAAATATTATCAGAGAGAATTTTCTTTCYAATTCTGAAACATATTTGCACTTATTCTAGATGCAATTCATTCTGTTTGCAGAGTACCCAAACCAGATACATTTACCCGTTAAAGCTGCAAGTGGGTCTTCCAGGACGTGCAGRCTGTGGAGCGGTTCTTGGCGCACGGTGAATCTGTGTGCTCAGAGAAGGGCATTTCAGCAGGGCCCGAGCTGCAGGTTGGGTGTGTCCGCCCTCCCTGCTTCCTGTTGTGCAACTGATGCTGGAGGGGATGTCTGTTGAACAACCTGCAGCAGGGGGTGCAGAAGGTACCTGTGTCCTGTGTTTTAAAAGTATGGAGTTACTCTGTACCCTAGAGTTCAGGGATTTTAAATGGGTACAACCCATTTTTCATTCCCTGTTTCAGGACTTTGGAGCAGATAAAGAGCTGGTCCAGTGCCATACCTGGGACCAGGGAGTCAAAGTGCAGGTTTGTCAACCGAGTGGTCTGCAATGGGCAGGAGGGACAAGGCCTGAGGGGCTGTGATTTCCAAACTGAGCTTTGCGTGGAAGCCCTTGAAAGGTGTTTGTGTCCTGAGTCTGTTGTCTCAAAGGAACTGTTGTATCCACAGTGTTTATGTCCAGGATGTGCGCAGGAGATGAGCGATGGCTCTGATTTTTCTTGCAGCTCATGGACTGGCACAGTTTGCCAAGGTGACTCTGGAGTTACCCTGTGTCCCTGTGTAGGCGGGTTGCTGTGTGTCAGCACTGCAAAGCTCCTGGACAAGACTGAGGTCCCTGAACACCAGGCACTGTGTCCAACTCTTGGAAGATCTGCTTAAAAGTGAATGGTATAGTGTGACCTATGCATATTGCTTATATRTTGATGCCTTCATGTCTTGTCACAGTCTGAAACACTCGCTGTCACGTACGTTATAGACATGGCTTTATAACAGTGTGTTGTAGCTTACAGGTCGTGTTAAACAAATGGGCACCTTTCAAATAGGTGCCTGCTTATGTGCAGGCAGCTTTAAAGGAGCTTTCTCCCCTTTTATCAGCCTGATCAAACCTGATTTTATTTGCTGCTGGTCAATGCCTGCGGGGGATGAACTTTCATGTTTTTCAAAGTGCAGTTTTTAATTGCCTTAGGCACATCTGCTGTGTATGTTAATCTGGCATGCGGAAAATGAAAGGGATGGTTCTGGGATGCACTTGGTGGCAGGTGCGCCTGGGCAGGAAGAACTGGTGGCAGTCTGCTGAGCTTGGCTAGTGCTCCCTGCTGTGTGAGGTGGAAGGTAGAGGAAAAGTAATGACTCGAGTGGCAGCCCTGAGTGGGGAGCCCTGAGGGGGAGCTGTTCCTCTCCCTGCGCGAATGACCCGTGCCACGTGTGCCCACCCAGACCTGCTGCGGTGGGGCTGGGCACAGGCACCGGCCTTGTGGGCTCTGCTGGCTGCTCACCTTTTGTAAAAGGCAGGCAGATACCCCACAGTGTTCATATGTTCTTGCAGTGAGTGAACTTTCAAAGCTACAGAGAAAAAGAAGGATTAATATTTTATTTAGGAATTGCTGGGGAGGTGAAGAGAAATCTACTACTTTGCATTCAGTTCAGTTCCAAAGTTGCCTCACAGTAGGTATACTGCTCTACAACAGAGATGAGCCGCCYGTCAGGAGCAACTGAACAGAGCCCTCTCTGAAGAAATATTCCTAAATCCATCTCTCTTCTGTGTAGATATGCTCAATCCAGACCACAGAAGGGGCTGAAAGGGGATTCAGAATTAATTGCAGTATCCTAAGCATCCTCATTAAAATCTTGGAACTGTAGAGTAAGAGGCTGTTCCGTGTGACTTCTTTTGCATTCATTGCAATAGGATCTGCTGCAGGCACAGGGAGGAAAAGAAATCAAATCAGTAGACTTAAAAGGAGGCTGCATAAAAGTGACCTGAGCTGGGAAGCACAAAGGTTTTAGGGCCCCCTGTTCTAGCTGATTTTATATTTCCAAGTGTCCTATTCAAAGCTCCTTAAAATCAGTTCACTTTTATTTACCTGCWGAGATGGGAATCCTGGCAACAACGTTTGTGTATCCAGTGCTGTCTCCTTTGGTTTTTTGCTTTTTGGATTTCCTCAAGTCTGTGATCTATGGCTTTGACGCAGCCTTTAGCTAAAAGCTGAGGGTATTTAGCRCTTCTTAGAATAGGACTGGGACATCAGTACCTGGAAATATTTAAATAACAAGGTCAAATAAGAACAATACTTGCTCAGGATGTGTCTTATACTTAATATTTTCTGTTTACTCTGTCATATGGTGAGTTTTGTAGTGTGATTTTTGTTTGTTACTGTTATTTAAAATGATAAGAAAGTTGGGCAGATGTTGTATTCTCCCAAGGCTTTTCAGATCATTGGTCAGCCAGTTTGGAACCAGAAAATTAAATATTTTTTCTTCATTGTATTTGAGTGGCTTCTGATTTTCCTAGTTTCTCCCTCCTCTTTTAGATTTATTGTTTCCTTTTGTAACAAGCACCTTCTTGTATGGYGTCGGGGTTCATTTTACTGATTAAAATTGCAGGAAGGAGCCTGGGCCATAAATAGCTGGTAGACACTGCTGGCTCCAGTAATACTGAAATAGCTTGTCTCCAAAGACAGGGCAAGTCCGRCCGTTTGGCTCAGTGCCCGAGACTGCGGGGCTGGCACCACGTGGGARGCCTGAGAGGGCGGCTGGAGGGAGCCGTGGGACTCCTGGGGAAATGAGGCAGGAGACAGCAGCTCTGGGGCCTCCGCGCTGCCCTGCCTGTCCCTGAGCGCCTCAGCCCTGCAAACTCCTGCCRTTTTCCTGGGATATTGCTGCAAGGCTGAACTTTGACAGACGCAAGCTCCTCCTTGTCCTCGGCAAAGGTATTCAGGAGTGGATTATGTGGATCTGCTGGGAGGAAATCTTCCTTACGGCAGCAGCCCTTTCGCACAGCTAGTTAATTGCAAAGGCTCAGATAATGTTTGCAGAAGATATCTTAGCTGTGTGACCCCTCCCTGTGTTAGTAACACGCGCGCACGCTTGGTTTATTGTTCCACCTAGGATTCTGCATAGACCGGTGCTCCGTGTGCTCATGCCTGTGATATCCTGAGCTTTAGTTTTTGCTGCCCCTAGTAGCAGTTTTGTGCTTGCCCTGCAAGGGCAGCAGSAGGTAATGGTGCGTTACCCGCCTGCCGCTCAGGAGCAGCCAGGCCACTGGGTATCTGTCAGCTGTGCCTCTGCTTCAGTAACGTCACAAGGACGATTCTGCCCATCAAAATACACTTAAATAATTGTTTGGAGCTTGGACGGGGCACTTGGCATTGCTGACAAGGTCATTGGAGGGGGCATTTGGCTTAAGAAAGGCCGGTTAACAGGAGAGTCCTGAAGGCTGCTCTGCACTATTCAGTCTCTCCTCTAGGAACAATTTCAGGATTTGGCCAGTATTTTATGCTTATGTGCGGTATTTGACAGAAGTTTGACTCTATTCTGATCCAAAGAAAAAAATATGAACCTGATGATACCTTAGACTGCTGCTGGCAGGTTATTTCCACACACATGTGGCCTCACACTATTTTTCTCTGTGTTCATTGCCCGTTTCCRGTGATTTCACCATATTGCATGATCTGTCTAAGAGCTAATTACTTCATTATTTTATATTTTTTTCTGTCCCCATGAAGATAGCCTCTGATTCTGCAGCAGTTTGACAAGTATCTGATTCGTAATATTCAAACAGGAATACAAAATTCAGGTATTTCAAGAAACAAAAATATTCCCATTGCAGTTATAAACTCTTTCCCTCGTAAGCAGTGTTGCACATACATATAGCAAGTGGCAGCCMTTGCCTTAGAGAAGTAGCCAGGGCAGATGAGGAATCCTCCTGTATTCCCAGGGCAAGGAGGGGCTCTTGGCTCGGGCCTGTTGCCTCAGCTGTGTGGAAACGGAGRTGCTGAGTTGTGGGGTGCTCCCTTCTGGCAAACGAGAGCTGTCCGCAGGCCCAGCACACAGACGGGCAGAGGCACCTTGCCAAGCTGCTCCCCTGCCTCCCGGGACATGGTGCTGGATGCTGCCTTCCATGTGCGAGCCTGTGTCCTTGGCCTCACCCTGGGGAGCTGCTGCATAAGAGCAGACGAGCACCTCAGTGCCAGGACAAATCTCCCTGAGGAAGCGGCTGCCTCCCTCCCTCCCACTGCCCTTGCCGGTGCTGTGGCTGCTGCTCCCATGCTCAGCAGCCCTGGCTTTGGCCAGCTCCACCTCGCCCACTCATGTGCCCTCTCCTACTGCACTCCCTGAGGTCACTGCCCACCCTCTCCAAGCACCCAGTGTGCAGCGGCTGCTCTGATCCCGTCCCCTGCGCCTGCCTCCTGTGGAGGTGCAAGGCTGTCTCCCATGTCCACCCCTCCGTGGGTAGCATTCCCGGTGCTGGCTGTGCTGTGGAGCCTGCAGGCCCCGCCTGCTGCGCCCCACGAGCAGCTGCGTGACCAGTAGCTGTCGGGCAAACTCCTGCTTTACAAGGTTGCCAGCAGTTCAACAAGAAAAAACATTACAGTGTTTTCAAGGTAAATGATTGCTTCTTTACTTAAATTGTGCATTTCTTTACACGTGTCTCAGAGCAGAGCTAAATTGCTGAAGGATGTGTGGCTGCTCTCATTTAGTGAAAYGCATGGCTGTTACATAAGGGCTTTAATGGCTTTCTTCATCCCTCTGCTGGCAAAGCATCTGGCAAAATTTTGAGAAGGCTCAAGGCTTTAAGGAAAGCTCATCTAAATAAAGGAGGGTTAAAGTGACATTGCAGTTACTTAATCCTGCATTGTCCTTCCATGTGACTTCAGAGATCCTGAGGTGCAGCGTTGCCTTTGCCTAGTGCGTAGTTACCCTTTTCTTGTCATTTTCCAGGATGAGCTGCTCTGTTAAACCAGCAATGGGAAGGAAACAGAAAGGCAACCAACTTCTTACAGGCAGGCTGCAAGATCAGCCATTGCCACAGYGCAGTGACAAGCTTACAGGCTGAAGAATGAATCGGAGGAAAACCCTACGTGCGGCTTTTGGGCTGGCACCTCGAGCAAGAACTCCTGCAACCTTAAGGTCAGCTATTCAAAATCACCTCGAAGCATCTSGATTTGCTCAAAGCAGTTTCTAAACTGTTAGTCTGCCCTTTATTGAGTTAATTTGCAGGGCATCAAGCTGAACTCTGAACATAGACGTGTGAAATGATATGCATTTGTGTCAAAAGTACTGTCTAGAATGTGAATAACTTGCTGCTTTTGTGCATTAACAGTTTACAGCTTTAATTGCAAAGCCTCTTTTACCTTGTAGATGAAGATCCTGACATGCTCTCTCAGTCTGTGGGAGATGGACWTAAATATCTTCCAATTTTATGCCTGAATTTTGGACAGAACTGCAATATGTAGATATGCCAGACTTGTTTCTGAAGTCATGTCCAAACTGATCCTTGGATGTGCAGTAAGATGGTTTTTTGGATAATTTTGCCACAATTTCCATTATGTCRAGGATTGCTTATTATTTAATTTAAGCTCTTTATGGGGTGGCCTTGTTCAATGGGGAGGTGATCACCCTACGGACTATGACAACAGGGTATGTGGATGGAGGAGGCCTTGGAAAACCCCGCTATGCCAGGTGGAACCGCGAGGACAGCAGCGAGGACTATGGGCGCCCGGAGAGCYACGGAGGAGATGAAGAGGGCAGGCAGCACAGCAGGCTGAGCCCGTTTGAGAAACTAACCCAGGATATGTCCCAGAATGAAAAAGTGGTGAAGGAATTAACCCTAGGGAAGCGGATTGGATTTTATCGAGTCAGAGGAGAAATAGGGAGTGGGAACTTCTCACAAGTGAAGCTTGGAATTCATGCCCTAACCAAAGGTAGGCGCTGCTGCGTGGGGGTTCCAGTGGTTTCTGATCACACTTGTTCTGCACGTGTGTTAGTGGAGCCCCTTCTCTGGGAAGCTTTCTGCACCCTATATACACACTGTGGCTGTATGTGCTATTCCTTTAAAGTGACCCTGCAGTCAGGGACACAGCTAAATGCTTACATTTGGATTATCCCTTATGCTTGAAAAGCAGCCAGAAACATTTTCTCCAGTCATTCCCCTTGGGAGGAAAAGACAAAGTCTATGTGTTTTGGGGAGTTAACACACGTGGCTGGGGGCCTCGTACGCTTTGGGAAGCAGCTTGTGCCGCCACTCCAGGAGCAGTCCTGCCCACCTGCCCTCTCCCCAGCGCCGYGCAGCAGGACTCGGAGATGAGCCTGCAAGGCAGCAAAGGCAGCATCTCAGCATGGCCCTGCTCACTAAGCTGACCCTTTCAGAGCAAATTCTTTTAGTGTGGGTAGGGCTTCTTTTCTGGTATCAGTAATTTGGGTAAGAAATATGCTGGTTTTGCTGGCTAAGTCTAGTTTCATGTGAAAGGTTGGGACAAGGGACATAGGTGCGTGTTGAGTAGGAAAATGAGCTTCAGTGCAGCCAAACCTACGCTGAACGTTATGTTGTGTAGTCACCTACTTTGCTTTTCTTAAGCACAGCAAAATTCCTAGATGCTGCTTCTAGGAAGAACTAGAAAGGGCAGATAATGGCAGCAAACACTTTAGTAACAGCTAAGAACTTCATYTATCCTGCTTCTCTGTCACTGACCATAGGAGTTCTTGCTTTCCCTCAAGGGAATGCTTCCTTGGCCTTGGTCCTCTCCTACCCCCTCTTTCTCATAGTGTTTACTTTCAAGTTTGGGTTTGTTGTCCTTGCCTCCATCATCTTAAAGGTGAGAGAATTAGTTGTTCCCCAAAGCCTTCATGATCTGTTGTTCTTTGASTCAATCAGTCCAAACTGTAGGGGTCTGAAAGCTCATCTTTATCCTAGTTCTGTTGCAGTTCTGTTGCACAAGGAATCAGAGGGGAACAATGTTTTAGTTTTTGAAAAAAAGCTGTGTTCCACTTGGCCCTTTTATTCTTTTGTTGTTGTTCAGTGAATTTTCTCCCTCTAGGGAGAAAACTGTCTTGTGTTGACAGAAAACTGTCTTCTTTTGAAGGAAGGACTGCTGCTGGGTTAGGCATAGGAAGAATGTGAAGGGAAACAAAAGGATAAGCTTTGATCTGGATGAACCCCTTACCTGTTGAATGTGGGACAGAGGTTGCTTTGGCATTTGAAAAGGTTTAGTAGTAAATATTTGTGACTACAGCAAATCTGAATAAACCAAATAACCAAAATCCAGGTCATCAGTTTTTCTTGAAAAGCTTCTTCTCCCTCAAGCCTATTTTTGGTTAAATTGTTCATGGGAGAAGCCATGAACTTCTTGCTACAAAGTTTCCAACTGTCATGAGGAAGGAAAGATCTTCTGACATCTTCTGTGTCAGCTCTGCCCCTCAGCTCCTCCATCCTCATAGAATGCGGATGGGAAGAGCAGCACGTCCGCGCTCACGCACCCCGCTGTAGGACAGGAGCCCTCGGCTCCTGCCCAGGGCTCATGAGCGCAAGTCCTCCTTTAGGCTGAGGTGAAAACACAAGGGCTGCTTTATTAGAGCTGGCCCTGTGGTAGGAGGAGGTGTTGTGTAGGGGGTTGAGCTGCTCCGTTGCTAGCGCTGTGTCAAGTCTAGGTACAGCCTTTCAGAAGGAAGCAGGTTTGGTTTCAGTACCAAGCTCAGCTTCGTTAGGGATTGAGTGTGGGYGGCTCTATAGCCCTTGCCATGTGTCCTGCAGTGTGCATGCAAAGGCTGGAGAGAGGGGAGAACCGCAGGAGTGGGAGCTCCTTTGCTCTCTCTCAAGTTATGTGGATGATCTCAGAGAAGGCAGAAAACCTTTTGGTGTTGTCATACATATTAAAGACATTAGTTGGCATTACCCATTTTACTAATCTGAATTTTGGCAGCAATCTTCTCAAGAGTCTTGCTGAGTTGCTTCCTCCAGCGTATTAGATTCCGAAGCTCTGTGTAACTTATTTAAAATACCCTCCATCCTGCAAGGACAGTGTGAGAACACACCTGGATAGAGGCAACTAAGGGTGCCCGAAGTTGAGACACAGAAAGGCCGCTGTGCTGTGACGCTGCAGCTGCTCCGTGTGCTACACTCCCTGTTAAGCGGTTTGATCTGGGGTCTGTTTATTGCTTTTGCCCWGCAGTTGTAGCACCTGCTGCTTGTTCTGACTCAGTTTCTCAACATTTTCCTAATCCAAAAGGCCTTATTTGAGGAGCCTTAGGCTACTTCGCTTGAAACCTCAGTAGTATCCAAGTATAGGCAATGACAGTCCCTAACTCCTGCATTTCAGGGTCTTAAAACTGCCCACTCGGGAGGCCCTTCTGTGTGCGCTGGTGCCATGCAAGGGGGAGAGGGACTGGCAAGCTAAGCACTTACTGGAAGCAGAGGGAATTATTCTTAAAACACAAACTAGCCTCTTTGGACTTCAGCAGGACTGTTTTTCCTGGCCTGCTATGCCCATGCAGCTGCAGGGATGTGGGCTGTGTCAGCTTGTTCCTGCTTCATGGTCTTCGGGTAAGAGGATAAGGCCCTTTAATTCTATGATGCTTCTTTACTTCCTTCTAAAACTTTTGCAGGAAAACTATAAGGAATGGTAAATTCCAGTGGATGAAGAGGGAAGAATTTTTTTCCTTCTTTGGACTTTTTTCCTTTGCTTCTCGCGTTGTTTGCTCTGACCCAAATGCTCTATACGGCAAGAGGCAGCAAAGCCGCTCTGCGGTGACGCTKGTGCGAAACGTTCCCTACCTCGCCCGGGCTGCCCCTGGAAAGGGACGTGGCGCTGGGCTCGCTCACTCCTTACGGGAATCCCACTGGCTTCCCGCCGGGGTGGGTAGCAGGATCAAAAGCTGCACTTATGTCCTAAAGAAATCGAAGTACAAGAGTCTGCTTGACCTGGGCGGGGATACAGGCACAGGTATCGATGGCACTTCCTTTAAACTGTTGAAACACAAAACTTCTRCCTAAATTTATAGTATTAAGTAAAAACATGTAGAATGTTTTTATAGCAGATCATATATAGAAATATAATGGTCTTTTCCCTCTTCTCTTAAAAGGACAAGTGATTTTTTTTTTTTTAATTTATGGACACAGAAACTGAGGGAAGGTTTTCCCTTCTACAGGATCAGATAAAAATTGGAAATCTATGAACATTTGAGGTGTGTATGAMCATGTTGGGAAAATTTGGAGGTAGCGAGGGAGGGGAGTGTGCATGGCAGGAGCCCACCCTCCACCCGTGCCCTGCTGCATGGCCTCTGCCAGACAGCAAGGACACGGTGCTGAGCACGGGCGCTGCTGCCCCCAGCTCTCCCCAGCAGGGACAGCGACAGAGGGGTGGGAGGGGACACGGGTGTGTGGGAAGCGCTGCCGGGTGCTGTGGCTTACCATAAATTGATCCGGGGTGAAATATTGCAGCTACTGTTGGACATTGACTGCATTAAGAACATGGAGAAGCATTTCTCTTTTCAGAGAAAGTAGCGATTAAGATTTTGGACAAGACAAAGCTAGACAAGAAGACTCAACGCCTGCTCTCGCGGGARATATCCAGCATGGAGAAGCTGCACCACCCCAACATCATCAGGCTCTACGAAGTGGTGGAGACGCTCTCAAAGCTGCACCTGGTGATGGAGTATGCGGGAGGCGGGGAGCTCTTCACTAAAATCAGCACCGAGGGGAAGCTGCTGGAAACAGAGTGCAAGCTGATCTTCTCCCAGATCGTGTCTGCTGTGAAGCACATGGTGAGGTGCCCCCCTGGGTTGCTCTGTGCTGCTCTAGCCAAGGTCTGGGCATGTGCCCTTGTTTGTCAGAATTGCTGTTATCGAGAGTGCAGGCCCACATTTCAAAAACTCTTTTTTACAGAAAAGCTGTCTTAGCTACCTCAGAGATCCTTCCCACTTCTCTGGAGTTACTGCTTTCCTGTTGACAGCATTTGGGCCAAGTGAGCTGGGAAATCATGGTGGAAACAGCTCCTGAGCAGCATGGGCTGCTCCTGCCCACTCCRAGCTGCGAGCACCACATGGCAAAGCTGCACTCTCGCCCTGCAGATAGGTCAGGGTGCAGCAGCACCCACCTGCTCTGACAGACCAAGGTGCTCCGGAGAGAGGCTCGCTAGGCATTGCAAAAGTCCGGTGCAGTTACTGGAGATTAATGAGTGTAGGAGGCTGAAAGTGAGAGAKAACTTCCTGCTCTTTGCTTTGCACAGGTATGTGGACACCAAGCAAGTCCCTTCTCCAGGCTTCACTGTCACAGCTGCACTTAGGATTATATTGTTTATATAGAGCACAAAGCATCTTGAGGTGGCAGAAAATGGYAGTTACCTACCCCTGAGGCAGTGGCCTCTGCAGAGCAGCTACACTGCTTACAATGACAGCTTAAAGAATGAGAGAGCTCAGCAGCATTAAGAAATAAAACCACTATTTGTTCAAGCCAGCTCAGGGTGCCCTCCCTGGATCTGTGTTTTCCTGCAGCGTAGGCTCATACTGGGAAAGCCAGGCAGGCAAAAAAACAGGTGGCATCAGGTCAGGCACCTGGAGGCGGCATTAAAACCTGCCCGGGATTCCCGTGCAGCAGGAGCACAGACGGGTGCTGCTCCTGCCAGCCCCGGGGTGACCAGCAGAGGGGCCAGGAGCCAGGGTGGCATGTCCTGCGTGCAGAGAGCGCGTCTCTTTCTTAGCATTAAACCCCAACTGCTGCCTGGCCAGGCTCTTCACTCACATGCACAGATCTCTGCAAAGCACTTTTGCTTATCTGTCATTAAATGTGGGACAGGAAGATGACAAGTCATAATTAACAATTTATTCTAAAACATCTTGGGATTTCGAGATCCACACACCCTGTTCCTCCAGGGCACAGAACCAGACCCCTCTCTGCTTAATTTTCTTCAAAGCTGAAGCTCAAYCATCACCTAAGCAAGACAGGGTAGCACCACTAAACAGGGCAAATTCAGTTTGAATACTCGTCTCCCACTGTCAGTTTTGATGAAAAAGAGTTAAAGCCCCAGCAGAGCGGTTCTTTTGAGCTTTCTAAGGCTGGAAGCTGCTCCTGACCTCAGTGTCCTGCAAGGCCCTGACATGTCACAAGACACAGTTTGTGCTCCCTGCCTCCTGCCAGCACCAGTTCTCCTCAGGACATTAGTTGAGAGGTCACCCACCCAAACTGTAGCAGCTGGATGTCTTTAGCAGGGACTGTGGACATCACTGTCTCTGTGAGCTAAAAGCTTTCACTTCATGTTTGCACCTGCTTACGGCACAGGCAAAACACAAGGTGAGAGARAAACTGATTTTGTTAATTCAGTCATTATAGACATTTAATAGTTGCAAAAGCAAATGCCCTGCACTCTAAAAAGTAAGTTACGCAGATTTTGCTACAAGGAAGTATCAAGGCAGGTAGGGTTAACCCATGGTGCCAGGACAAGGCTCCCTAATAGAAACAGTGGTTATGGAAGTAGTGATTTTTAGTTAATAAGAGACTGTTAGCCTTAAAAAGAAAAAGCCTTCTTTCTTCCTGTCTTCTTCAGGTATTCTGTTGCAACTTCCCTCTCTGCTGCTCTGGAAGCATTTGTTCTAAACAYGTTAACTTTTCCGTTTTACAGCACTAGTTATTTCTGACTTTGCCCAAGATCAGTCTGTTCTAACGGCCGCTCTTGGCGGTCGCTGCAGAGCATTRCTGTGAACCAGCTGACCCTAAACCTGCCTCTTGTTCTGCAGCACGAGAACAACATCATTCACCGGGACCTGAAGGCAGAGAACGTTTTCTACACGAGCAACACCTGTGTGAAAGTGGGCGACTTTGGCTTCAGCACCACCAGCACCCAGGGCACAACCTTAAACACTTTCTGCGGCTCTCCCCCGTACGCAGCCCCTGAGCTSTTCCGCGACGAGAGCTACGTCGGCGTTTACGTGGACATCTGGGCCCTGGGCATCCTGCTGTACTTCATGACGACGGGGGTCATGCCCTTCCGGGCGGATACAGTGGCCAAACTGAAGAAGTGCATCCTTGAGGGGACGTACAGCCTGCCCCCGGGCCTGTCTGCCGCCTGCCAGAAGCTTATACGGGGAGTGCTCCAGCCCGTGCCGACCGAGCGCTACTCGCTCAGGCTCATCATGAACAGTGAGTGGATGCGAGGGATATGGTATCCCCAGCCCTTGGAGCCCTTCCCACTGGATCCCAARTATTTAGCAGAGATCAGCACGCTCAAAGATGAAGAAAATGAAGTGAAAAGTATTCTGCAGGAGCTGGGCATCACGGACGAGCACATTCAGAACAACCGAGGGAGGGACGCGCGCAGCTCCGTAACGGGCGTCTACAGGATCGTTCTGCACCGCGTGCAGAGGAAGAGGGCACTGGAATGTGTGCCCATCATGTCCAGTCCCGACCCCCACGAGCAGGAGCCTCAGCAAGAAACCAGCTCTGCCCTGGGCCTAAAACACACATCCAAGCTGTGCTCCATTTTATAAATTGCACCGAAGGCTTTACCCTCAGCATGCTTCACAAAGGGATTGCTTGGGTTTTTCACATGTTTTGGTGTTACATTTTTGTAACTTTTAAATAAACCAAAACTGCCTTATCACCTTTGTATTTTTCAATTCACCCTGAAGCAGCCAAATGCAGGACCCTGAAAGCCTGTTGTGTGACCCTCACAGCAGAGACCTGGGATGGACGGCGCAGGAGGATCTCACGTAAGTAAAGCAGGTGAGAGGGCACTAGTGGAGCCCGCGTGTTAAGGCCGAGCAAGCAGAACTGCACMTAATGCTCTCAAGCAGTAGCTCAGTTCAGGCCTAGAGCGGTAACTTTGGGAAAATTCTGCCTTAGCTCCATCCAATTTGAGCACAAACCAGGATAGCTTTTGCAGAGAAGTATGTTTAAACAGAAACCAGACCTCCCTCCTCTAAACAACTGTTTATTTTCTTCTTAAAAACTTCCCCAACAAATCAAGCCTCTGTTCAGTGGTACAGCAGAGCAGTAGAGCTGCTTTCCCCGCCTCCCCCAAGTAATGTGTATTTTAAGAAACTACAAAGCTCTCTGTCAAACACAGAGCCCAGCTGGCCCCTGAGTCTGGCTTTGTCAGGCCATTCCGCAAGGCTGCCCAGTCCAGTTTAGATGCGCTGCTTTCACCCCGCTCCTGTGCTGTAYAACCAGTGGCGTTAGCACCTGCCCRTCTCTGCTTTCATTATTTGTAACATGGGGGCAAGTCTGCACCCTGCTTCAACTCCCCATGAAGCAGCAAGGGGTAGTAACTCTCCTAAAAATTMATCTCATTGAATGAGTTGTTTAGCACATTCTTGCTTTCATACCAGCTAGCAGTAGCTGAATGCAACTGCTGATGCCATTTGCTTGTAAARTAAGCATTAGATGTTGCCAGTACAAGTGCTGGCACCAAGGGCTGGCACAGGGCTAACTATGATGCAAGTTAAATGCTGCAGCACCTGACACTGTTACCGGTTGTTCTGAACTTCACAACAGTGTCGAGAGTTGCTCAGGTACCGGCCTTATTTTAATGTGCGGCAGCCTGCTCAGCTGTACAGGGTGCTTACAGGCAGCAATTACCTGGTGTCTGCCCAGGCCCAGGTGTTGAAAGGCTTAAGGGAGAGGCCTRTAGGGTTTGGTTAAGGCAAGCCAGCTTACCCGAGGCTTGGTGATGTTCTTTCGCATTCAAGCACGTTTGCCACATATGGTAGCAGAGCTCTGGAGGTAGCAGGAGCCTTTCAAAGGAACCAGTTAATGTCGATGAGCAGCAGAACCACACTGAGAAACCTCCAGGAGGCAAGCGGCAAACTCAGGCTCAGGTGGACATAAAGCAAGAAACAACCACGTGCACTGCTGTGAAAGGGGATAAAAAGCTGGTAGTACGATTAATTCTATTGCATAACGAGGAATTAATTCTTCCCCTCTATAAATGGTTTCTATTCAAAAGCTTTTAAGACATCTTGAAACAGGGCCMTGAAGTACCAGTCTGCCAGCAGCCTGAGCAGCCCTTTCCACTTACACAGTGAAATGAGATTAAGCAGCAAGATCAGGAGGGCCACACAACTTGCAAACTCCATSTTTTGAGTTTACATGGGGCCAGTTTCCCCTTTCTTTTCTATTAAAAGGAAATAAATAATAATAAAAAAAGCAGCATCCTGAAACCCCCAACAAGTCAGCACTACTCCACCAGGTTTCAAATATCTCAAACTTTATTTTTCTTAAAGGAACAGCCTCACAAACCGTGAGGGGCCTGCAGTTAATATTTTGTGCCAGCAGCTCAGTCCTTGGCTTGTCCACTGCCAGCAATGGACTGTGTTCCAGGGCAACCGGTTGTTGCGGTGCCAGGGGAAGGGGCACGAGGGCCCCAGGCCCGGGGCTCGCACCGCTCCCTTCCCGCGGCCTTGCTCGCCAACGGACCCGGGAGCACCCAGCAGGCATAATGAACAACTAGGTACCAAGGCTGCTCTGTACAAATCCAGCAAAAGTTACCAAATCCTCATGAGTGACTGATCGTACAACACTTCATCACACCAAAAAAATGAAATTTAACAAATCCATTTCTTCTGCCACTTTATATTAAGTAATGCAGCTTTGTAGAATGAGACAAAGGAATAAAACTCAACAAGACTTTGTTCTGTACATTAACTCAACTTAAATATATATTACAAGCTTACAAGGCTCATGGCATAGTTCATTTCCAATCTGGACTTTAATATCCTACCAGGCTGGACTCCCCATTGGTGCTGTGCACGTACCACTTGCAAGATTGCTAGCTTTTAGTTGGGGAAAAAAAAAAAAAAAAAGACTAAACCTCACACATATACTACAACACTACTAGAAAGAACTTCAACATATGAAGCCAGATTCAGAGTTAGAAATAGTCACTAAAAATGTATATATAAAGACTAATGAGAGGCCAAGGTTCCAGACAACCTGATCCTCCTCCCTTCCTTAGACTTCCATTTAAAACAGCTCCAGAAGATCTGGAAAAACTTATGTCTTAAATACTTAATCTTCAGTTACTGTTAAATAATCTTAAAAGGTGCCAAATTCATGAACCCAGAAAATACTGCCTTTAGTTCTCTGGATGGAGAAAAGAAAAAAAAAAAAAGAAAAAAACAAACAAACAAAAAACCTGCATCTCTCATCATTYCTCATCCCTTCCACAGCACAGCGATTTATACTGCACGTATAAAGCACACAGTACGAGAAGGAAKTAACGGCAACTCACACAGTCAGTTTTACAGAGGAGTTCTTAAAAAACAAACGAAAAAAAAAATCACTAAACCTGTCGTCTAGCTGTTCTTAATCCAGTTGTCCCCCTTTGACAGGGGACAGAGACTCTATTCCCTTAATCAGTGCCACTCTATTCTAAACCTTTTCCCAAGCAATGATGCAGCTGGAGCAGGAGGGGGATGTGAAATGCCCTATTCAGAAGGGGGCCTGCTCCTTGTCAAGGCACTGAGATCCCCACCCTTAARAGCTTACACTGTTTTGCCATACACTTTTGAATACAAGTTGTTAACAGTTGAAGTTTCAAGTCATTTTACATGGAAAAGGCAGGCAGAAGATTTTCTACATACAAAAGTCTTGTAACAGAACACAGCTACAGCTCAGCAAATTAAAAAAAAGTCAGATATGTTTGTTAAGGAACCCACAAAGACCCTGGCAAGTCCCTGCATCTCCAGTATATTAATGATCTTAGTGTTCTGACAACACTATAAATATCACACCATATTAAAATGAATCTCATCAAAGGAGTTTAGACAGTTTTCCCATGCTCTGACTAATTAAGATTTACTGTACAGTGAAACATCAMACTATTTTAATCTGTTTTCTCTCTTTCATCCTACCCTCACACCTTTTTCATTCCCCACCTCACAGAGGTATCTCAATGCTCCCCATTGGAAATGGCAACAGTAACGCCTTCCGATTCTGTTGTTGCAGGGATTCTTGGCACTTTCTTAGCTGGACTTGGGATGTGCTAAGAAGAAGGGAAAAAATCATTAAATCAAGTTTTCTTGACTTCCAACCATTCTTACTTCCCGGCTAGTGCCCTGCCCAGCCGCCAACCACGCACCGCCGCCACCCGCTCGCCAGTCATTCCAGCCGGCCGCCTTCCATGCACCCTCACTCTGTGAAAGGAGCCAGGTACTTGTGCCGCTTCGTTTCCGTTATAATGAAATGTACTTGGTTCAAACACGCAATGTACAAGCCCGAGGTAAAAATACTGCACATGGCATTTAAAACAGTCTTTGAAACATCGCGTCAGGCCCTTTCCTCTTCTGCCATACGCCCCCATGCCGAGCCATGCACCGAGCCTGCTCCGCTACTTCACTCCCCCTTTGACCGCGTGCAGAGCGTTCACCTCATGGACCACGMCGGGGTGGCCGACGCCGACTCCGGCCTCCAGCGGCCCGTCGCCCAGCAGCGGGCGCCTCGCGTACGTTCGCCGGTGCTTCTCATCCACGCGCACCAGGTACCACGTCCCCTCAAAGAGATCGTCTGCCGAGCACTGCGGAATGTAGTTGGCTGCAAGAAAGACAGCAACGTTGTCAGCTGTGTCACAGAACTGAGGAGTTCTCTAAGCAAGTGCAGTTTGGAAGCAGTAAGACGGGAGACCCAAGTCTGCATTTTTCATTTCAGCTACGCTGGGGCAATAAATGCAAGCTATAGAAAAGTACAAGCTGCAGAGAAGTACCAAGAGTTGGACCTGCCCTTCATGCTACACCCAAATCATTTCATTTAATTCCTGTGAATTAAACTATAGGTGTTGTGCTGTAAACTGTGGARTGATACAGATTTAAGTGCTTTTTACCCAGATGGTGCGTTTCCTGCCTAATCTTCATGTTTTCAGCAAAGACATCAGGGGCAATGCATTTTCTTGAGTCGAGTCTTGTTTTAAGATCAGAAAGGCTGGCGGTTATTTTGTCCAGGGAAGAACCTGCAATAAATAGCCATCATGTAACACAGCACCAGTGCTGAGATGTGCAGAGCACACGAAGCTCGCACTTCTGAGTGGGTTTCTGAATGGATTCCAAATGGTTTGAAATGCTTAACGTAASCCAATTTTTTAAAATTCTACCAGTTTAAAATATTCCAGATGAGATAAGCAGAACACCCAGCACTTGGAGAACACCGCGCGTGCTCTACRTGTTCAGAGAAGTAGCTAGAGGGCTCCCGACACGCCCCTCTCGCTCCCGCGGGGCAGGGGGGCTCACCTGGCGTGGCGTCCTGCGTCACTCTGATGGAGTAGAGCGTGGCGGCGAAGCCCGAGCCGTACGAGAACACGCTGATCCTCTGCCCGGCGAGCTGCTCCGGGGAGTACCTGCACAGCGAACAACAGCGGCGCCTCAGAGGAGAGCTATGCCCAAGTGCTGGTCTGCAGTGAACTGCAGTTGCAGCTGCCTCCCAGGAAGCAGCCAGCACTGACTAAAATGCCTTGGATCATCACTATAGGAACAGACAAGGAGGTTTAAAACGTAATTCTGAGCACTGTTCCTATACAATTATTTTCAAGGGTGACTAAACAAATGGGAGCACATTAATGGCACATTAGCTACCTTCTAGATAATCATGATAAGTCTCATTCTTAAATTACCCAAAGCCTCCAATGAAGTATCACATCCTGGAATGCAAGGTCATAGCAAAGGAGGAGGAAAAAAAAAAAAAAAAAAAAAAAACAGAAAGACTGGCTCTAATTAAAGGGGATTTTGTGAAATCCGCAGTGATTGCACAAACTACAACAGTGCAGTAGTTGCTGCAGATACGGATTTCATTTAGCTATTCTTGCTATAGAACAGAAAAGTTTTCTGTTGTTGTTGTTGTTTCTTTATTTTGATGCTGGGGAAAGATCACCACCCTACAAATAAGATCCAATTTAGAAGGCAGGAAACACGTCTTTCAGGTCAACCTCGGCACAGAACTTTTGCATTTGCTGTTCATTCAAGCAGTTCATGTGCGCARAATGATTTTCTGGACTTAGTGTTGATGCTCAAGGTAATCTAACAGAAAAGGGAAAAGCACCTGGATGCTTAGRTGCCTTCACAGCAGTCTATCTGAAGCAAAACTATTTTACACACTTCTGCAGGAGAAGCTATGACTTTGTTTCCCTGATTCAGGCTTACTGGGCTAGAAGGGAAGCGAGGCAGCCGTAGACGGATGGTGTGTACATATTCCCGTTCTGGTTGGACACAAGCAGGGAGGCTTTGGTTTTCTGATTGAAGAGCTCAGCACTGGCTTTCATAAAAGCTTTTTCCACATCTCTGTCAAAATAGGTATCTTCCAGTTTAACATCCCTACAATAAATAAATATATTAGTTAATAAAGGCAATTACTAAAATAGTAGCAAGGAAAAACATCTTGGATGTTTAACAGATTCAGAGTGGTGATATGGAAGATAGCAGCTATTCTCACCTGAAAGCCTCCAGACCACTGAAGACACCATGTGCTGTTTCGGGGTTCTGGTCACTGAGAAAGTCATTCAGCAACAGCCTGGCCACAGATTTCTGCACCAGTTTACAGTAAGGAGAGTGGAAGATCATGAACCCAAAGTCATTCAAGGTGAAACGTCTGTCTGTCCCCTCTGGAAGCAGAATATGGTGTGTTAGAACTTACTGCTAGTGCTCACTTCAACTGTTAGAGTAAACAGGGGAAATTATGACATGTCAGCATTCAAAAGATAACCGTAAYACTAATGGTTTGCTGATTTATTCAAAATACTGTCATGATTTATATTTAAAAAAGTAATTCTTACTGATCACTAACAATGCTGTTTTCCTAGCAGAAAAAAAATTCAAAGCTAGACAGGATCTCTGTTATTTTGAAATAGGAAACAAGCTGCTTTAAGTAGCAAGTTCACAGAGGCTACTCCTTGCTGAAGGAGGTGTCCTCAGCCATGGCAGCACTAAACCCAGACGTTTCACACGGCAGAAAGCAAACAGAGACTTCAGCCACCTCAAGCACCCAGAAAGGGGCACCCACTAGTCCGCAGAGCGGACACCAGACCTCGTCAGTGCCTGTCCCCAGAACCAGGCGCTCCAGCCCGTGCCCGCCTGCCTGCAGCGYGCCACGTACGTACCCTTCTGCCACTGGGCATGGATCTTGTTGCGGTAGACTGTGTAGCAGCGATCCAAGGCACTGAGGTAGCACTGTATAGACAGCTTGCCATCAACTACAGGATACTCGGACACCATGTCTGGCTTATAGAAGTCATAGGCATGCTGCATGTGGGTCCCACGCAGCCCTGGTTAAAGGAATTTGACCAAAATTACTTTTTTTTTCAGCTACTTTAAGTGTGATTTAAGCACACCACAACACACGTGAAGAACAAGCAGGTGTAACAGCATCTCCTGTCCTTGTTGCCCGCACAGTTCTGGATTCTCTAGCACTCAAGCCCAGTAGGACTGAGTGTGACAAACAAATAACATGATTTCCATCATTTCTTCTTGTACATGCAGAGCTTTGCTGTTCAGCTCAAGCCCATTCTTTGTCAATTTTATTAGAGAATCCCCAGGGAAGGAAAACCAGAAGCATTTCCAGTCGATCCTTCCTGCCTCCTCTAATGGGCCTTGCACAAGCTGCCCAGAGCAGGAGGTGACAAACTACAACCCAAACACGAGCAGGGGTTAACCCAGCCCTCCRGCAATGCACAAACACAGGGAAGAGGCTGCAGAAGGGAGACAGTGCCTGGCTGCGCTGGGTTCCCGCAGAACTGACCTCGTTCAAAGATGAGAGGCGCGTTTGGGCCGACGAGCATGGCGACGGCTCCGGCTCCCCCCGTGGGCCTGGCGTTGCCGGTGGCGTAAACGGCGATGTCCCCGGCGACGACGAGCGCGTAGCGGCCTGCAGGGAACACACACGCCCCAGAGGAGCCAAGTTAGTGTCCCACAGCTGTTTTTAGACCTCCGTTTACAGGCGACATGACTGCAGCATTGAGGGCTCTCCAAACTTTATGTATCCTCCCTTTTGCGTTTTTCCTGACAGTCACCAACATTCACAAGGAGAGCAGGGTGACGCTCATCCGAGTCATTCCCTTACGAATGGAACGGAGACAGTGGCCAATGCCCAGGGCACCTCAGGTGAGGCCTTCGCAAGAGGGCYCCGTTTTATCTACATGGTTAAACAAGAAGCAGGATTCACCCGCAGCAGAGAGTGACGCAGCCGCTCAGCAGCGCAGCCCACACTTACCATCCCAGGAACTGGACTCGATCCAGTTAATGGCATTGAAGAGAGCAGCGGTGCCTCCGTAGCAGGCGTTTGTGGTGTCGATCCCTTCCACATCTGTGTTACCAGATTCTTCAAAGAGTTGCATCAGGACAGTCTTTACCGACTTTGATTTGTCAATTATTGTCTCCGTTCCAACTTCTAATCTCCCGATACAGTCATAGGAAAGACTGTTCCTCTCCATGAGCTTCTGCACCACAGTCAAACAGAGAGAATTGATGTCCTCCCGGTCGGAGCAGAAGCCCATCTTGGACTGRCCGAGCCCAATGGTGTATTTGCCAGCATCCACCCCATCGAACTTCTCCAGCTCCGTCTGGTCGACGTACTGGGAGGGAAAGTAGATTTCCAGGGCAACGATTCCCACATCTTTTGGCCAACAGGATTCAGCGTTCACCGGAAGGGACCCAGGCATTGTGGCAGATCTGGAGGAAGAAAAAGGAAAAAGAAAATGCACAAACCATGAAACTGCCGACATCCACATCCACTTTTAGCAACCCACTTCACACACATTACAATTTTCTACAGTTTACAAAAAAAGCTCAAGTTTCAGCTGTTTTAGTTTCCTTTGCAAAAGCCAAGCCTTGGCCTCTGCAGCATCTTCAAGAATTCCACTAAGATTAAATACTAAGAAGCTCTTTTATCTGAAAATGCAATTTCAGAGCTGGAGATAACACATGCTTAGATTCAGCCCAGGTTATTTTCCTGAAGCAAAATGGGCAATCCACAAATGTTTAGTGTTCATTATTCTACTCTTGCTTCCAAGACTTGYGTTAGATCTCCATTTTATAAAACTAACCTAGAAATACTGGATTTTTTTTTTTTATTATTTTGCTGATTCAGAACTTAAGGCTACAATTTCCTGGTAATATTATGTTTTGAACTTAAAACAGCCTTCAAAATTGTTTTTATTTTTAAATTAAATGATCCAAGTGCCTCCATGCTGCTCATACTTGCAACAAGGATGGCAATTTCTGTCTTGGTCCCACCACGTGGGGTGTTTTGACATTCCTGTGCACTAGACCCAGATGGATACTTCACAGGCTATGGCAAACACATCACGTTTCTTCATCACAGACTATGATTTCACATTTTAATGCTCTTATCTATTATTACTAGGATACACTAGTACTAAGTATTCTATTAACTTAGCCCTACCCATCCTAAGTAGATAAGCACATTTTTTCCTATAGTTTTACTTTCAGTCTTAAGGAACAAGTCTCTCTTTTGTGCTGTAAGTACTAACAAATCGACCTTATCCAGCTTCTCGCAATCACGATGAGCYGTGCAAAGGAATAAGCCTTTCTAACCAGAAACGACCACTTCACAGCGTACAGATTAATACAAGCTCTAGGGAAACACTCTATGTAACTGAATCATATACCTGCATATATGGATAAGTGAAAATGGAAGTCCTAACGGACACTTCAGGCAACAACACACGGCTTTGCAGGCTTTCTTTTAAGAAACTTGCACACGCGCCTACAATGTACCTAAACCAGCCCATTCCGTGCGGGTTTATTCGTATGAAAACACGCRGATTCAGGGGGCGCACACTGAAACCTGCCTTCCAAAGCAGGACCCGCGACCTGCCCACACACGCCTTCCCGCATCCTCTCCCACCCCTGCTCTCGCCCTGTTTTGCATAGTGAGAGCAGAAGAATAAAATAAATAAAAACAAAATCCCCCCGCAAGGTTACGACCAAACCGGGACCTCTCCTTGCCGCCACCCCCGCCCCGCCTCGCGCTGCGGCGGGGGGGGAAGCGGCGCGCGGCCGAGCGGCCGTTTCGCTGCCGCCGCCGGCGGCCGCCGCAGCCCCGCGGCGCTCCCGGGCGGGGCGGGGCGGGGGGACGGCGGCCCCGCCGCGGGGCGGCCCGCGCCGGCCGCGCACGGAAGGTCACCCCGCGCCCCGCCGCCTCGCTTACACGTCGCGGAATCCCATGGCCGGCTCCGCCGCGGCGCCCGGGGGGCGGAGCGCGCATGCGCCGCCGCGCCGGCCGTCACCTTGAGCGGGCGGGCAGTGCGCACGCGCGCCCGCCCCTCGGGACGGCGTGGGCGGGGCCCGGCGGCCGTTACCGCCCCCGTCCAACCGCCGCCCGTTAACGGCCGCCTTCCCTCGCTCCAACGGCCGCCGCGCGCTGCCCCTGGGCGGCCGCTCTGGCCGCACCTGAGCCCTGTCCACCGCAAGACCTTCCTCGACAGCCGCCGCCTAACACACTGTAGAGATTTTTGTGTGCGTGTGTGCGCATTTTATTTATTTTTTAATTATTTTTTAAAACCGCTGGCTGTGCCGCAGCCAAGGTGCGTGTTTATGCCTGGGCAGGACGCAGGTGCGGGACATTTTCACGTCGCTTGCCACGACCGAAAGCGTGCGGCCTCGCCTTTGGTAGCGAGCTGCGTTTGTCCCTAGCGAGCACCTCGCGTTTGTCAGGGCAGGGCACTAGGGAAACAAACCTCCCTCCTGCCAGACCTCCTCCTTTGGAGGAGGGCCAGCAGCCGCACTAACGTGGCCCCGTGCTGCTCTCGTGTGGTGAGAAACCTCGATGCAGCTGCAGGTAGCGGCATCAGCGTGTGGGTAACTCGCATAGAGACTTAAAAGGCAACAGCATCCGCACTCGGTTCTGATAACCGGGCAGACACTTCCTTACCCTATAAGCCTGAATTCCCCTAGCATTTTATTTAARATGTGGATACAAACGCACGCTAACAACAGGGAGCCCCCAAGCCCTAGGTCCCTGCTGGGATGGGATTTTTGACATCCCCCTCCCTTCGGGTGGGCACACAACACAGSTGCAGCACCCAAAGGGAGCGGGATGTCAAAAACCCCTGCCTTGAAGGGCAGCAGGTACAAAGTCCTTGTGGAGCTCAAATGCTGCTCCAGGAGCACGAACACCAACAGTTAAAGACTGCAGAGATTAAATTAAATATCTAGTAATTTAATTAAGAGCCACAGTAGCWGGCAAGACAAATACAAGGGACTTGAGGGATGTAACATGACATAAGACAAGGGTGGCTTTCAAACAGGGAGAGAATCCTTTGAGAACTCAACTTGTCAAAGGACTCAGCTAAGGGCGTCACCCTGGCTTGTTACTTACAGAACCCAGATTAAAACTGGTGTTTAACTCTAAAGCACCATCATTTCCATTAGAAAACTTTAGGCTGAAGATAACTAGAGGGAGACTTTTGTCCCTACAGGTATTTTCATGCATAGCTCAAATACATCTACTGTATTTAGCAGCAGTCTCAGCTACCAGCTTATATGGCAATATGAGATATATACACACACACACACTTGTATTTATGTAAGTTTGCTTCTAAGCACTTAGAAGCAAGCAAGGCATATGACATCTTTACCAAGACAGTCATTACAGGAAAAAAGAATAGATGCTTACTTGGTGAAAAACACCCTTTTGTCCTCTTGATCAAAAGCACAGAGCCAGTCACTGATTTTTACTGCAAGAGGAAATAAACTTTTCCATAATACTTCTTTAAAGAGTTCCTTTAAAAACCAGTCCCAAGATGATTCAAAAGGAGACATGAGAAACCAGATTTGGTCTCCTTAAAAATCTGCAGGGACTAAGCAACACACACAGCCACTGGCTCCTGCTAATACTGCCAAACATCCCAGTATTTCTTCCGTACCAAGTGCAACTGGCTGCTTTCACCATCTTTATTAAGAGTATTCTGTTAATAACGTGACATTATTTCATACTTAGGTTTTATTTCATACAAAACACTAACTGAGAAAGATAACAAATGCCTCGTTTTTTTTTTTCTCTCCTCCCACTACCCACAGCAGACAGTTTGGAAGTAAGAGAAAAAGGAAAAAAAAGGGGGAAAAAATACAAAGAGAGAGAGGGAGAGAATCGCGGGCCGCTTGGGAGCGGCGGCTCCAGCGGCAGCATCCCAGGGCGCTCCCTCCTCCCGCGCCCGCAGGGGCGACACCCCCGCCCAGAGGCGGCCCCGGCCGGTCCCCGGCGCCCGCCCGCCCGCCGCCGG